CTGTTTCATTGGGAATATATTTTGCTGTTTCTGTTATCGTCAGTGTCACTCAGAAGGATAGTGGAGTCGAAAAGAAGACTTTCAGTTGCCACAATCTCAGTCTTTCCAATCGTTTACAGAATCGCCCTTTCAGATTTTAACTGCCGGTGTACCTACAAAACAAATGCTTTTAGGTAAGTAGAACAAGACATAGGCTTGCAGGTTCGGAAGCTTAAGCCTAAATTTATAGTTTGTAGCAAAACAAAAGAAGGACTACAAATTCCGCCGACCACTTGATAAGCCAGTCTTTGAAAACGGAAGAGAAGAATCAAAATCGAAAGCGAAGCCCTGCGAATCATACGAATTTTATCGCTGTTACCGCCAAAAGGTCACGAATAAGTGAAATCGAGCCATCTTCGTAGGACTATGACGTCAGTCGGGTAAGCGAAAATGTAATGCGGTTAATGGAGGTTCTAGTTTAGTAGGCAAAGTCATCAGTAAACCTGACGAGAATCCAACTTAATTGTCAAGGTTTTTTCTGTGCACCTTCACAGGAATGTCCGAGAAGCACACATATTGAGGGTAGTATTAACTACCTTAGTTAAAAAGCACTCGTAAAAGTGCGTTGATGTAGATCAGTGCCACAGGGCCCCCGAGGCTGCGTAAAGCTGCTCGTGTGAAAAACAATAATCACTTATAAGTTGACACAAGTCTTCGAAACCATTAGGAGCAACTCGGCTGCCTTAGTGGTGATCGATCGAATGACATCAGTTGCAGTAGGCTGTGGGAGTAAACTGTCCCAAATTTTATTAAACTCCCGGCTGCCCGTCGGGCCTCGTAGCTCAAATGATGAGAGCATTGATTCTACTCAAGGCTTGTACCTGCTGTAGTGCGTTCGAACCCCCATGGTGGTTGTCGAGTGCTTTTTTACAACTTTTGCATTGGAATTACCGATTGATAAACCAGAACATTATCAGCTAATCCCGAAAACACGAGAAACCATTGGTTTTTTAGTTGTTTCCGACTTCCGAAGGTTTACAAATGCAAAATGTTTTAAGTGGACAATTTCAATGTCAAATAACTCCAGTACAACTTAGAAAAATAAATGCTTTTCTGTCTAGGAACTGACTGCAGGAGCTCTTTTCATTCACTTGGAAGAATCCAGGCCCACAGGGTCCTTTGTACCGACAGCCGAGGAGGCCAACACGCATAGCTATTCTCCCGTGCCAAGCGAGTGGATGGATTCGAACAAAACGTGCAATCACCGGAGCAGCTAAGAAGTGTATCCGCTCAGGAACGTCCGGTGAATTTCCAAGAAATACCTGAGAAGCATTAAAGAAGAATGCAGACGGTTGAGTGTTAGTCACAAGATATATGCGGAAATTTCGTTTTAAATGGAGGATTTGGTGACAGACAAGACGTATGCGCTTTAGTACCGCAAAAAAGTCCATATTTGGATTAAAGTCAGTTAAATATACTCGCCTGAATTAGTTTAAATGGAGGATATGGACCTCTTTCAAGTAGGTGTAATCTGCTGAAGGCAGTAACGGAGCGGGAAGTTTTGCATACATGTATACCTGTATATTGGGCAAAACAGTCCGAAGGCTGAAGCTGTCAAATATCCAATGCATTAGACAACGAAGTAATCGGCAAAGTAACGAGTGGGTGTTTTATGTTTACATCGTTCGTTTAAAGTGATTATTTCACCAATGCTGCCTTTTCTTATCGATTAGACTTATTTTCAAGAAACCTAACATAATCTTTTTCTCCGAGGGATATTGTAAGCTGGTGCCTCTACCTAAGCAAATACGCAGTTTGTATTTGGGGAACCGGGTTCAGCGCCTCCGCATATTAACCGTGCTTCGTTTTGCTTCAATAGATGTCCGCTGCATGTCAGTTTCAAATGACTTCTACGGTCGGGAAGCTTTTCTAAACGGTTCCCACTGATCATAAAGTTATTTGCAGTAAGTTAGAACAAGTGACATGCAAAGACTTTAAATGTGAGCGCCGAAGAAGAATGCCACTCCTGCCCACGCAAATTCATTCACCGCATCGGCCTACTAGGCCACATGCGTATCAATGAAAAAAATGTGGTAGAACATCCTCAGCAATGCCACACCAGCGCTTTTCTCCCTGCCAGCACCTACATCACACAAGACCACATCGAATATTACACAACGCGAGAAGTCAGTGCAGTAGGCAATTCGTCCATAAATACTCGGCTGTCCTCTTGATTACAAAATATGACGATAAGCAATTCTTTATGAATACGACACGTAGCAAGCCTTTTCAGATTTATGTAGATATTGTTCGGGACGTACATGAACTACAAAGGAGGGTAGAACATGGGAGCTAGAACATCCTCGTAAAATAGGTAGCTCTATCCTAAATTTTGAGTAGATTGTAGTTTAGTTTGAGGAAAGGGTTAGTGCTAAGTTGACGATTAGGATTATGGCAGTACTCCTCATTTACGGAGATTTTTATTCTCTTGTAATACTCAAACGTGGTTTTCGAAATTTTAAGTTCAACCCAGGATCTTACTAGAGAACTGAGTTCATCCCCGATGATTATATATCCCCTGCATGCAAGTATAGACTCAAATATTGCACGCGGGTTGTTTAACATGCTAAATTTTTCCCCTGAGGGAAAGTCACTGAACGTCCTCATTGTTGGAGAGAGGGTGTGATATTATGGAATAAACTATGTGGTGAGTCTTTATCTATGCATACAAATGACCAATAAAATAACAGTGACAGACTGCTAAGTGAGGTAAACGCTTACGTTCTACGAAACTGTAGTTAAACTAATTTAACTTTGAACACAGTCAGGGAGAAAATGTAGTGTTCAGGTTTACATTGTTCTATTTCGCCACACTGGCAATGTTATTTCAAGAGGTCATGGCAGCTTCGAAGTTTGCAGTTTGAAAGTCCAAAACTATTATAAGTTCAGATTCCACTTATTAGGAATAAAGGAGGAGTACAATGTTAACCATTGCGTTTCGGTCGCTAAACAACTAGAACAAACTTATCTGATAAATTACACTTTATTAGGAAGGTGACAGCCATCTACGCAATCGCTGTTGAACAGTATTTTAATAAGTATTGATTGAGATTAAAATTAAAGGCTTATTGGTCTGGAGATGTACGATTTTATCCTCTAAATGCACTTACATTTCACAAGTTTAATTCAACTTACGTGCTGGTCCATGTGTGGGGCATCCTTGTAAAAGAACCACAACTTGCTGTCGTTACTGTAGGAGACTTTGAAATGAGTTACATACTGGGGCCACTTTCCATCGCCACGGGAGCGTATTACTACTCCAGTTACCAGAGTTGGAGGACCGAGGTCTAGTTGGAACCACTGCATGGCTGCCGAAGAACCATAAAGAGACATAAAGCTAGCTAACAGAGATAAGTCAGAAGTGGACATTTTATGAACAAATTCAGGCAGTACACAAGATGCTGAGAGTTTGAGTAATGACATTTACAATGCTGAAAAATAACAATGACGCATGCATGACGGAAAAATTCTCCCCTCCGCCTGGAAGACAGTAGTAAACTTGCCTCGTCAACACCTAAGCAGAGCGCTGAGCAGCAACAATGAGTTTAGCACAGAGGTTGAGACAAAGGAGATCCAATCGCCGCGACAATAAGCCTTACT